CTGCTCAGCTCGGGCTGGACTTGAACCGCTGTTGCTCAGAGCTCAAACTCTTGAGCGAGCTCTTAACCAACTGAGCCACTCGGCCGGCCCCTCGGTTTAATTTTTTAATTCAAATTTTTATTTGTTTACATTTAGGTACTTGTTTTTTGTATTATAAAGACATTTTAGCATTTATTTTTAAGCATATTATGGTACAAGAAATCTTAGGTAACAAATAATTACAAAACACAAAAACAGATACAAGGTACAAGAACTTTTATGTACGGGTAACAAATTTACGATATTTACACATCATAAAAGGCGAAGTACTCTTCGTCGTTGTAAGTCCATCGTAAGTTCAATAAAAGCGATTATTGTATTCCAGGGTACTATTTTGCATACGGATATCGTTATTGATTTTCTAGAAGTACACTTTTAGCTCATAAGCATAAATAAAAGAATGAAAAACATTTATATATTGGGTCATCGGAAAAGTCATGACGGATTTTTGCAATGAAAAACATAGAAAAATACGTCATGACTTTTCCGACGACCCAATAGATACAGAGTTAGTACTACCCATGTATAATGTGCATCCTTATTTTTCTCTCACAAATTTGGGCAAAAGAGTGCTTATTATACATGGCAAAATATGGTACATCAGAGATGGCTGTGCAGAGCAAGTGAGATAACTGGCGGGCGGTGTACTTGGACCCACTCTCAAAACTGAAAGGCATTATGCGAATGGGTGACTTTCCTTTCCTGGCTCTGAGCCTCATGCCCCCCTCCACCATCTGATCCTGGGAGGGTCCCAGAGGTTGTGCTGACAAGGGAGGCCCTTCCTCCTTGGAATGCTGTTAAATTCTACCCCTGCATGGGGCATGGAGGGAAGCCCGCCTGATGAGGACAGCAGCCACTGCGTAGATATCTGTGTCCCAGGTCAGCAACTCAGCGAGGAAGCCCCAGCATGCACTTCGGGCCTGCGAGACCAGGACTGTCTGTCTCATTCCTCCCTGTTGGGCAGTGACAGGCCTGGTCTTTGTGTGCTATGGGAGCAGGGCCCTCATAGAACTGGTTCCCTGTATGATGTCTACAGTGTTCAATACAGGAATGGAGGGGTTTTAAGCGTGCCTTGTAAGCTTCGGAAGCACAGGTCAAGAAAGGTGCTGTTGAAGTGACTTGGGCACTCACTGTCTTGCAAACATTGGTGAGGCTCCCAAAACACCTCCTCCTTCCCGTGGAGGTATTTCCAGGGGGACACCTCTGGCCTGTGCTTGGGGACTCAGAATTCAGACTGATATCCAGTGCCTGTTGCCCTGAGAAGCCACAAGCTCTGGAAATGTTGTCATCACTCAACCTGTGGATAAATCCCTATTCAAAGTGGCTGTTAACAGGACAACTGCATTCTTTAAAGTCAGAGGTGTTCCTTTTTGTTTTGTCTTCAGTGCTAGAGAAGCTGGGTCTTTCCTACAATAGAATTGCTTATTACCTGGTTGAGATGGTAGGACAGGTAGCAAGTCACTCCCTTTAAAACAGGGAAACACCAGAGTATCTGCAAGACACCTAGTCCCCAAAGACACCTAGGATGTCTGGAGAGTGAGAATGGGGCAGTCAGCAAGTGTCCGTGGGATTCCAGAATGAGGTTGTGTTCTGGCCTGAAATGCTGTGTTTCCCCCAGCGTGTGAGCAAGGGGCTGTAAGTCAGCTGCCCTCTGGCTGTCTTTAGCTCCTCCCCCTGAGAACAGGCATGGCATTTATAAGAAATCTTACACTTTTTAAAAATATCCCTAAGTTAGGCTTCTTCTTCATTCTCTCTCCAAGAGTTCTGAGGCCTCACTACCTAATGCTTTTTCTTGGACATACCTCCCCTTCCTCCTGGGCTCCCTGCTGAACGCTTGGTGGGCCACCCTGACAGAGAGCCCTGGGGTCCTGACAGAGAAATTGTTTCACAACTGCCGGGTGTGCTTTTCCTCCTCAGCTCATCGGAGGTCCTCCTTCAACTTTGAGTGCCTGCGCCGTCAGAGCAGCCAGGAGGAGGGCCCCCCATCCCCGGCCTTCCCCCACCGCACTGCCCTGCCTCTGCACCTGATGCAGCAACAGGTAAGCCGGCCCACCTGGCATCGCCAGCACAGGCCTGAGGGGCACCCTCAGGACACCCACCCTCAGGACAACCCCTGCCCTTTAGCGTCCAATACCAAGCAGAAGGAGAGAACCTTCACATACACTCAGGTTCAGCCTTGTAACAACAACCTGCAAAAGATAACTGTCACAAACCCCACTGCCTAGATGAGCAAACATCAGAGAGAGTAGGGGACGTGCCCCAGCTCACATAGGAGGTGAGTGATCAAGTTGGCATTTGAATCCAAGGCTGCCAGCTTCCAAAGCTGGGCTCTCAGCCTAGGTGCATTCTTCTCCCCTACATCTCTCTTCAGCATTGAAGACAGGGCCTGGTACAATCCATGACCCAGGGAGTGATGGCCACTTGACTGACCCTGAACAATCAGCACTGCCCTTTATTTGCTCTGATAGGTTGTTCCGTCTTTAAAACACATTTATGGAGTCCTCTGTGGGCAGGGCTCTGTGGTCATGGGGCGGGGCGAGCCTCTGACCTGGCCTGCACTGGGTGTGAGGTCTAAGGGGAAGGACCTGTCCTGTGAGGGAGGCTGGACAGGAGGGAGCGCGGGGCCAGAGCCCACTCACCAGAGCTTTCCCTCAAGGACACAAATATGGTACATTTTCTTTCTGAAAAGAGCACATCTCTGCCACCTTTTTACTTTTCCGCCTTCAGTTTTTACATTAATTTTAATTTGTGTCCTGCTTTATTATGAAAGAAGGACAAAACCTGGGAAGGCCCAGGCCATCAAGTGCCACGAACCAAGTAGGCATGGAATGTCTCCGTGGGCATGTGCATGAAAATGCCTTCCCTTTGCTGCCCCGTCCTGACCAGCACTGATCCTGTCAGCACTGCCTCCCTCAGGCGGTCTGGCTTCCGATTTGGCCTTGGGCCTGTGCCATTCACAAAACTGGGCCTCAGGGTCCCCCTGTGCGGAGTGGGACTGCCCAGGCGGATCTGCCATGGTGTCACTGTAGGCGGAGGAGCAGGGCTTGTACCCAGTGCTTCAGAGCAGATGCTGGCCGTGTGACGCGGTGCATAATGACAGCCAGCTGTGTTTCCCTGTGAGTGCTGGGAACCGTTAGTTTGCCCTGAATGTACTTCCATATTTAAACCAGAGTAAGCTGGGTAGCAGGTTCATACACCCCCGCTTGTACGTCGTCCCTGATGCTTGATCATTCTGAAGCAATTTCATGAATTAGCAACGGAACCTACTGGGGAACAGTCATAAGAAATGTATTGTGGATTTGGGGAAAAAGGAAATGCAGTCCGCTAGACAGCCACATTTTTACTGTCAGCTTACTTCACTTACTCAGTGTGCTTATGTCCTTTTAAAGTCCTTGTCTGAGGCTGCCCCTATAAAACTGCCTCATGCTTCGTCCATGTTGAGGAGGCCTGAGGCCTGGACCACTGAGGGCCTCTGGTTTCCCCACGTCCCCTTTCTCCTCAGATCATGGCAGTGGCAGGCTTGGATTCCAGTAAAGCCCAGAAGTACTCACCAAGCCACTCGACCCGGTCCTGGGCCACCCCTCCAGCAACCCCTCCCTACCGGGACTGGATGCCGTGCTATACCCCCCTGATCCAGGTTGAGCAGTCGGACGCCCTGGACCAGGTCAATGGAAGCCTGCCATCCCTGCACCGCAGCTCGTGGTACACGGACGAGCCTGGCATCTCCTATCGGACTTTCACACCAGCCAACCTGACTGTCCCCAGCAGCTTCCACAACAAAAACAGCGACAAGCAGAGGAGTGCAGACAGCTTGGTGGAGGCAGTGAGTATGGCTCCCCGACAAGCCGCCGGAGGGCACACTGCAGGCACAGCAGGGTAGGGTCCTGAGAACCACACAGGGCCGGAGCAAGCGGTGGGTCTGAGGGCAGGGGTCCGCCCACCTCTTAGAAGCAAGGATGGTACTTAAAGCATGAATGTAAAACCACCATCACTGCTGAGTCTCATAAATGAGCTGTACTAGGATTATGTATGCTGTTCCTGCAACTATTACCAGTTCATACTACAATATTCTTCCAGTAGGTTTCACTCTTGTGGGACCATGTACATGTATAGTTTTTGAGCTCCATGACATTTGAAAGCCAAAGCCATTTACATTTGTTATGCATTTAGCTACCAGGTATTGAGGTCTAGTGAACATGACTGGCCAAGTCCCAGGAGCATAGCATGCAGTTAGCGCTGAAGTGGGTTTTGTGTCATTGTCCCCCCTCAACACCTTCTAATGCATTCATGCCATTGATGCTCTTGCCTGTGCAGGTCCTGATATCTGAAGGCTTAGGACGGTATGCAAGGGATCCAAAATTTGTGTCAGCGACAAAACATGAAATTGCTGATGCCTGTGACCTAACCATCGACGAGATGGAGAGTGCGGCCAGCAACCTGCTTAATGGGAACGTGCATTCCCGGGCTAACGGGGACGTGGGCCCCATCTCAAACCGGCAAGACTATGAGCTCCAGGACTTCGGGCCAGGCTACAGCGATGAAGAACCAGACCCCGGGAGGGAGGAGGAGGACCTGGCAGATGAGATGATATGCATCACCACCCTGTAGCCCCCAGGGAAGGGCAGACTGGCTCTGGCCTCAGGTGGGGTGCTGGAGGGCCAGGGAAAAAAGTGCCTCGTAGTTAGGAAAGTTTAGGCACTCATGTGAAGTCCACGTTCAATTAGACTTTTGTACAAGCGATGTCATGCCTCAAGGAAGCCATAAACCTGGTAGGGAACAGCTGTGCACACATGCTCAGCCCCAGTTGTGGTAAACAGCAGGTCCAACCCTCTCTCAGAGGACTGAGCCGTGTAGAGGGCGGAAAGCCCTGCCCTCTTGTTCAGAGCGCACCTGGGGCACTCACCCATGCCCACCTACCTGCCTGTAGGCATGGTGGGGAAGGTTAAAGGTGATGACGATCACCACACCTGTGTCATTACCTCAGCCATTGGTCTAGCATATCAGACATTCACTGGGCCCAGCATATCCAGTTTTAAACCCTCCCCCCCCCCAAAATATACTGCTTCCTGGTTCCTGTTTAGCTGTTCTGAAATACAGTGTGTAAGTCAGGACCTACCTACCAGCCGTCATCCTGAGAGGAAAGCAGGACCTTATAAAAGGTTTTCTGTTATATGACACGAGTTTACATGAGAGAGCATCACGCAGATGGTCGGTTTATGACTGTCAGGATAAGGGCATCTGTAAACTGGAATAATCACTCACAACCAGGTCAACTTAGATACACTAGTTTGTTTAAAAATTATAGATTTACTGTACATGACTTGTAATATATTATAATTTGTATTTGTAAAGAGATGGTCTATATTTTGTAATTATTGTACCGTATTTGAACTGCAGCAATATCCATGGGTCCTAATAATTATAGTTCCCCACTGAAATCTAGGAATTATTAGTATTTTTACTCGGACTGAATGGAAGTAGAAGAAATAGAGCCAATTCTCATTTATTCAGTGAAAATCTTTTGGGGGTAAACTTTTAAGTTCAAAAGAACCTGACACTACAGAGATTTTTCTAAAATATTTTGAGTCACTATAAATCTATCTTTACACAAGATATACCGGATGACTATTTGCAGTCTTTTCTTTGGGTAAGAGTTCTATGATTTCGTAGTGTACCTTTTGATCCGCGATGGGTTGCAACTGTCTTCTGTTTCACTTTACCTCTCCCGCTAAGTGCACAACAGTAGGTCAAGCTGGGTACTCTGACCCTGTGGCATTCCTAGTTGTCGGTTTCTCACCTACCTACAGGACATTTCTGTATCTCTAGTGCAGGAATAATTGCACAGGTGGATGAAGTCCCTCTACTCATGTCCCCTGGGAAAAGGTGATGCTTGCTTAAGAAATAAGGACTGCTGGGGAAAGGGGCGGGGGGAGGGAGCAAAGGGACGATCTATAGGTTGGGTTCTGGAGAAATCATATTGTTGCCTTTTTACAAAATATTGCTGTACTGTGTGTTCTCTGAGGGCTTTTATATGCAATTGAATGAGGGCTGACGTTTTCATTAGAATGCACTCCCACTCCGACTGCACTTCCTGATGAAAACCCACTTTTGGATCATGAGACCTATCAAGGCTTCCTTTTCTGTTCACAGAATTATGCCGACTTTGTCAAGTTACCTTGGCGGGGATTCTTTGCAGTCAAAAAAAAAAAAAAAAAGCAATTTTTGGTTCAGAATTTTTAACTATTCCATAGACAACCTGTTAATCAGTGGGGGGGTTTTTGTTGTTGTTGTAAATAATAATACTTTGTTATGAAGACCTTACAAACCTCTTCTTAAGACATTCTTACTCCAAATCCAGGCAAAAATCTTCAAGGTTTGTAAATGACTGTTTCCTGACGTAAATTCTTTTTTATTAAAATGCAAAATGTTCTTCATAATAAAACTGTGTAACAATTTATTATGTGTGGGAGCTCTCCTTGCAAACGCCTGGCGTTTGCTGGTGAGAGCTTCAGAAGGGGCGAGCACTCTGTGAGGGCAGTTCTGTCATTGTAATTCTGTAAATAGACATTTTTCTTATCCTTGTGGCTCCTTCAATGCCTGTGATAACTTAATACCAGCTGCAGAGAATACTGTTTCTCCTAAAGGGCTAAACCACTGTTACCGGCATCTGGGACTCTTTCTCTTTTAGGTATGGGTCTTACTGTGTGGCTTATCATCACCAGTCCAACGTTGCCAACCAGGACTGGCTGTTGTAGGCAATGATGTTTTCCAGTCAGTCCTTAAAAACTGGCATTTTTATAGGCTGCACCACTCTGAATATCTGTCTGCTTTAAGCCTGGTTCAACCTCTCATCTAACATTAAATTTTTCTTTGTAAGAAAAATTTGAAGTTGTAGAGCATGGTTTTTTTCTCCTTTGTTTTAGGTAAGTTTTAAGATTAAATGTCTTTCCTTTCGGTTTCCCTTCCATCCCCTGAGAAGACGTCATTTTGTTGTGTCCCCAGGAATAGTACGTTTAGTGTTTTTCATAATATCACAAAGTGGAAATGGCAGTTCTGATTTCATTGTCAACGAGAAAGAACCTTGTTAACAATTGTCTCTATGATTCCCATCCAGATTCGGCCAGGCGGTGCTTCCCAGCTCCATTCCAAGATGTTTCAGAATCAGCTCAAGGCCAGCAAGGGTGGGTTGTGAAGACCCGAAAGTGTCTCGGTGTACAGTGGGAGCTGGATCTGCTTGACAAACCCACTTTACCACTGACCCCATGCATGTGAAAGAAAACATGGCTCTTTCTTTCTCTTCCTTTCTTTTCTTTTCTTTTTTTTAATAGATTGCACCACGGCCATGTCATTGCCAATTGCCTGCTTCCTTGCAAAGGTTTTTGTTATGACAGACAATTTGTTCTAAAAACTGGTTAGTGATAGAGGTATTGTCATGCAGAGCTCCAACTCACTGATTAGACTATCTGACTCGAGATAGACTGCAGCCATGCTTTTATTTGTTGAAAAAGTTTTTATTTCTCTAAAATGATATTCCTTTTCTGCTGGGAACTTAGGAGGGCAGGTGAGTATGAGGAGCAGGCCTGGGGCCCCTGCTTCGAACATGGGAGCAACAGCGAGTGTATCCTGAGGATGCCCTGTGGGGACAGTGGCTGGAGATGATATGGGAGATGCCTGGGTCTCAAGACAGCCAGTTGAGAGGGTGCGTGGTGTTGGTTTTTTGGTTTTTTTGGTTTCTGATTTTTAAGAGAAAAGGATCTTGGTATTAGATCTGATGTTACGTTGATCAGTGGAAATATGACCTTTGGGCGGAGGCACGTGGTTTGGCTGGAGAAAATAATCTATTTGAATTTATAGAAATGATGCACTGGAAGCAGAAAGGCTCTAGTTATGGCGCCAGCGCTCCCACTTCCAGGACCTGCCATTTCCTGGTCACGCTGCAGGTAGGCTGCTCCTTTACTTGCATGTTCTGTCCCTTATTCTACCAGGAAGAACTTGCTGCCAATATAGCAGCCTCAACACAGGTTTCTTCAAAGGGGTCAGTGCTCCTCAGAGGCTGATCACTAGGCACATTCACAGCTTTGTGTTACGCTTTGGAAACTATTGTTTGAAAAATGCATTCTTTCATGTTTTTATGCAGGCTTTTTGCTCGGGTGTAACTGACAATGTTTGCCCGACTCCGTGAGAGGCTGAGTGCTAGCCTGGTCTCTGGGCTCTTCCTCCCCAACTCCAGTCGGCACTTTCTCCCTTCTCTGGCTTCCTCAGTCAACAACTCTTTTTCTGAAATGGAGGGTTCCCTCGTGGCAGTGGAATGTTCAGACAGTCCCATTGTTATGATATGGGCCACCGCTCCGCTCTGCCCAGACAGCCACAACCCTCAGCTGTCGGCTCAACTGAGGAACCACTTCAAGGCAGACTGTTGCGTCCTGTGTCTGAACCCCAATGGCACAGTCTTCCACTTGGACTTCTGTGGGTCCTGGGGACAGGACACTCATAATCTTCTCTTTTGAAACTTATTTCTGTGTGTGGCTAAATCGTGTGATCACAGGAACAAGGACGCATAAACAAGAGTGAGAGAGGCACCGGGATACAATTCAAGCTGTACAGGGACATGTTATTTTCCTTAACTCACAGTATAGCCACAGTAGCAAATCGGCCATTGTCTCGAAGGCTGAGGACACCACAGAATGCAGAGATGGCAGAACTAAATGGCTGTGTCACCTGTCATATCCATACCAAGAAGGTCAGTATAGCCACAGTCGCCTGGGATCCCCCTACACACCTAGGTTGTTACTCCTTGGCCCTCAGAGCTGGGGAGGGGCCAGGGGAGGCTGGCACCTACACTCCTCTGTGGTTCCTTCACCCCTGCAGGTGGCTCCAAGACCCATAAGATGATGGCTGTGGACCAAAGCTGTGGGACAGGGAGCAAGCCTCTTTAGGAGAAAGAAATCTCTGGGCAGATTGAGAATTTTCTTTCTCGAACCTCCCTTGGAACAAAGGAAAGCAGGATATAGGTAAGATTTAAATGAGAGGCTGCTTCAAATTTTTAAAGGAAAAAGAGGTATGATGGTTTTGTTCTTTCCACGTTTCTGGAAGGTGTTTCTCAGAAACATAAGTTGTGGCTGCCAGGCCTCCAAGTCACATCCATCCAGTCTGATCCTGGGAGGAGACTAGAGTGCCCCATTTTTCTCCCTTCTGTATTCTGGGCCCAGCATGGCAGGTTTCTATATAGCAGTTCTTTTCTTCCATGCCATAGACGGTGGCTTTGAATAGCTTCAGAAAAATCAATCCAAAATGCATTTAGTTTTCTTTACCTTGTAAAAACCATCTGAATAAGGCATCTCAGTTAAAAAAAATAAATTACTGGATTACATTATTGAATTATAAAAAGTTTAAAGATCAAAGAACTAAGAACTATTTTAAATGCTACTTGTGTCTGGTTTTTTTTTTCCTCCGAAACTCAAATCTCTGACCATTTATTTTTCTTTCTCTCAATTGCATTTTTACAGAATCAGGGAGCATAGTTTTACTTGACTGCCTTTTCTGCCAGTCTCGGCTGCCTTTTCTGCCAGTCTCGGCTCCATCCTGGTCTGTTCCCACGGACATCTGGAGAATAAGAATTAGCCAGCCTTGTCCAGTGCTGACTCATTTCCCCAGGCTGAGGGGAAAGCGTCCTCTCGGGCTAGCTGCTTTGACATGGAGCGGTGGTCTGGTATGTGGGGTTTGCTCTGGGTCCTAGGTTTCCCAGTAATAGGAACATCTTTTAAAATGCTAAATCGTGAAACCTGTGGTTGTGAAGAGTCTCTCCAGATTCTTCTCTCCCTGAACAAAGTCCAGAAATCCTCTTGATAGGCTGTGTTTAGTAAGAACTAGAGCATCAGACAGGTGGGCTGCAAGCCCCTCAGAGTGACCCAGCTGAGCACCAGTTCCCGCCTCATTCCAAGAGTGAAATCAGGAAGCAGAAAAGAAGGGAGAAGCTGTGTTTCCTCTAGCAGGCAGCTCTCCCGGCTGACCAGGAAAAGGCTTATGCACACGTCCCAGGTGAGCTCCCTCGCTCCCTAACTATTGAGTGACTCTGGGTCTCAGTTACAGCTTGGACAAGACAGTGCAGATCTAGTCGACAACCAGCCTCTGCACAGCACCCTGCTGTTTGAGTGGTGTGCCTTCAGAGGGAGGCCTGGGAGAGAACCACTTTCCTCAAGTCCAGCCAGGACTGAGGAAGGCAGCGGGACCCTGGGTTGGAGAGCACCTTGGAATACAAGACAAGGACAATACAGGAGTTAGCTATCCTCCACAAGGCAGGGAAGAGGGGCCCCAGCCAGAAATTTGACCTACCCCCCAGGGCCAACAGGAAAATGCTGGGGACGAGGAACCTGAGACCAGTACTGGCCTCATTTCTTAAATTATCCAATTCTTTGCCATTGAATCCTAACATTCTAGATAGTTTCAGAAAAGAGCATTCGGAACAAGGACTGTGCTGGCCCTCATGGCTCGTCCAGGGGCTTCTCAGGCAGTGACTGCCTCAACGCTGGGTGGCCAGGGTCCTGGGTTTGTACACGGGGACATCCTTGTCCCAGAGTGCGGGCTGCCCCTTGATGATATCAGCTGCTTTCTCTGCGATCATGATTGTGGGGGCGTTCAGGTTGCCGCTGACCACGCTGGGCATGATGGAGGCGTCGACCACCCGGAGGTTTTCCACCCCAATCACCCTGGTCTGTGGATCCACCACGGCAGTGGGATCGGAGGGCTGGCCCATCTTACAGGTGCACGAGGGGTGGTAGGCACTGTCCGCCTTTGCCCGCACAAACGCGTCTATCTCTTTATCTGACTGGACCTGGCTTCCTGGCTGGAGCTCTTTCCCCCGGAATGGTGCCAGGGCTTCCTGTGCAAAAATTTCTCTGGTCAGCTTCACACACCGACGGAAGTCATCGACATCGGTTTCTGTTGAGAAGAAACAGGTGAGACTCCTCCTCTTACCACGTTAGCCTTGCTGGAAGATTCTAGGCATGGAGAGGCTCAGTAAGCTGCCCACAGGCAGACAGTTCAGGACATGGAGGTCTGCACCACCAGGTTGTTTGTCACCTACCCATAGGCGGTTACATGGCAGCCAAGCAGAGTCTCGTTAAGCCCAAACAGATAGCATCCTAGATGGACACAGCTTGCCCCAGGGTTAAATTGGGGGTCTGAATGTTCTTATCTGTAAAATGGGGATAAGAATACAGGCCCTGCCAGCGTGGCTGTGAACACCCCACGAGTCATTACTGGGCGACACCTGATGGGGAGTGCTCATTTTTGCTGCACGCAGAGGACGGCCCAGGAATGTAATTCCCTTTTAGAGAATGCTCAGGTAACAGCAGGAAAAAGGCTCTGCGAGCTATGTGTCCACAGCCAGGTGTCTTGGTACCTTCTGGTACAAAGAAGCTGCTCCTCTCTCCTACTGTGTAAAATGACGCCAGGGCACCACATAACAGCATGTATGAATGTACAGCCTAGAGGGGCGTGGTGGAGGGAGGGCAGAGGGTGACTCCTGTCTCAGAAAACATGGTCCAGGGGTAGTAGTCAGGGACGAATGTGAAGCCCGTAAAAGCATTCATTCAATGACCCAGCAAGCCCAAGCCTGGGGGGGACAAAGGTGGCTGGTGAATTACCTGTTGACAAGCAGTTCGGTTGGATCACAGGGTGGTCCTGGGGGTTGGCACTCCTCAGTTTGAGCCAACCCACACTTGTGCCCCGCATGGTCCCCACATGCACCTAGAAGAACCCAGAGGAAGCAGTGACCTCCATCAACCCCCAAACTCAGTAGCTCAGAGATGTCCCATGTTTCCTATGGGTGGGACTATACATCCAAAGGCAATTAAGAGCAAATACATTTTAGCATTTGCCTGAATCTTACCAGCCCCCCAACCCTTCCACAAGTGATCAAAAACCATCTCAATGAATCACTCCTGGCTTTACCTAACTGTCCAAAACTTTCAGGGGCTGGCAATCCCCTGGCAGAGTCGGCCTCACTGGTCCATTTCTAGAGCTCAGGACCTGGAGTATCCGCCCTGATGCGGTGTGGGTCTCGCCTTGCCATGCACCACACAAACGGCCTCTCTCCACTCAGGTACAATTGTGCAGCTGGGGGGCACAGGCTTTCGCCCCCAGGCCCCATGCACCCTGAAAGCCCTGCTGCAGTGGGGAAGATGAGACCCTCTGCTCACCTGGTAAGCCTCCTGCTGGGTGGGGACCCGCCCATGGTCTATCACTTGGGAGGGCAGGAAGTGGAACTGGATGTCGGGGTGGGGGACCCCAGGCTGGCTCCGGATGAACCCACCTGTTTCCAGATGGGCTGTGGCTCCATCCCCTGAGAATCCGAAGAGTAGCAAGTGAGGGTGTGGCAGACGGGCCAGCCTCCTGTCTCCTGGGCAGCTCTTCTTCCTCTCTGTCTCTCCTCTTTCCCCAAGGTGGGCTCACCTAGCACCCCAGCTTTCAATTTCAGCTACAGGCTGAGGGTCTGTCGCTTTGCCTCTTCAACTCAACCGTGAGGCCTGATGTCCAGTGGGCATCCCTAACCTGGCCCAGCCTGCACTCCTGGTGAGCCTCCACCTGTGACAGCTCCTTTCGTGCAAGGTTAAGGGCAGGAACGAGAGGTGTCCCTGCCTCCTCCCTCTTCCTCATCACCTATCAGCAGCCATCAGAAAGGCTCATGGACTTCAGTTCCAAAATCTGCTTGACGCGCTCTCCTTGGCAATGACACTCACACCCCTGCCTTGGTGCCCTGGCCTACCTGAGTGCCTCCTGCAGCCCGCCCCTCACACACAGCCAGCTCTCTCTCTACCACTGCTTCTTCCTAAATGTGCGCAGTCTCCTTGGCCCAACTAATTAGTTTCCTAGTCCCAGAGCCTTTACACATACATATTCTTCCTGCCTGTCAGATCCCCTGCTCCCATTCTCTAAATAATATCCTGATCTTTCACTCTGCTTAAAATTTAGCTTATTTACTTGGTTCTTTCCGCTGTTCCCTTAGAGTATAAACGGCCCAATGATACCTGCCTTACTGGCACTCCTCACCCTCTGGCACACAGCATACATAGTAGGTGTGCAAGAAATACATTCTGAGTGAATGAGTAGGATTTAAAAGCACCATTTCCCTGCCAAACTCCATGCTCTGATATGCAGCTAAAACACAAATGGAAAATGCTAAGAAATGGGGGGCCGGCCAGGTGGCACAGCTGGTTAAGAGCGCGAGCTCTGAGCAACAGGGTTGCCGGTTTGATTCCCACATGGGCCAGTGAGCTGCACCCCAGCTGGTGAGAGCACATGCTCTTAACAAGGTTGCCGGTTTGACCCCCACATGGGGTGGTGGCTGCGCCCTCCGCACCCCCCCCCATACAACTAGATTGAAAGCGGCGACTGGACTTGGAGCTGGGCTTGCGCCCTCCACAACTAAGAATGAAAGACAACAACTTGACTTGGAGCTGATGGGTCCTAGAAAAAACATAATGTTCCCCTTCCCCAATTCCCCAACACTGTTCGCTTCCCCAATTCCCCAATAAATCTTTAAAAAAAAAAAGAAAATGCTAAGAAATGGATGCAATTCTCTAGTCCAGCACCAAGTACGTTTTCTGTGCCTTTTCTCCTGGCTCCTTGGACCCCTGATGGTGTCTAGCACAAGGCCACCCCCATCCATCTTCAAGGAAGAACACCTAGCCCTTGAGGAGTCTCACCCTGTGCTGTCACATCTGGTCCTCACACAGCCCATCAGGCAGAAACTGTGTACCCCCATTTTGCAGATGGGAAAGCTAAGGCCTGAAGAGCTGAAGTAAATGGCATAGCTCAGCTTTAAACCAACAATCTTGGGCCAGAACCATTGCCTGGCACCTTAGGCAGGAAGCCGTGCTGCCCACAGACCATCTCTACCAAGGTCATGGGTGATCACACCCACCTGTGAACTTCCAGAGCCACTCCAGACCTATCATGAGCTTCCTCAAGGGCTTTTGTGCTGAGTGGAGGGTGATGGGGCGAGTGCACTCCTGTTGGATGTATATCTCCAGGTGGTCTTGCAGGTTCTGGCCTACTCCTGAAATGGGGAGGAGTGGTTAGGAAAAATGATTATCAAGAGGGGCTTAGCTGACCTCTCAACATTGCCCTGGTTTTGAGAACGTCTTCCCTATCCACTTATCAGCAGGCCAGCTCCTGCTCATTCTCCAGGTCACCTCCCAGGGCCACCATTCCTGAATTCCCTGCCAAGTCCTGGCCCTCTCAGATGCTGCCCTTGTCACTCACTACAGAACCTGTAACCATCCAGGTGCCTTCCTGCTGAGCTGTCCCCTCCATGAGGGCAGGGCCCACGCCTGTAGCAGGCACCGCTAAGTAAGCTGTCCCTGAATGGTTGACAGCCAGATGGACTTGACAGCCCCACCCTCACCCCTAGTCAGAGGAAGGAGGCCCTGTCATGCTGTGCAGATCCTGCTTGAGCTCATCCAAGCTCAAGGGCACGCTGGGCAGGTCACTGTCATGGACCAGAACTTTCACAGACTTCTTACGATGATGCCTCAATGCAAAATGTCCCAGGCTTCTGGGAGCTTGGGTTATAAGAGAGGGCAAGACGGACGGGCATCAAATACAGCTGATAAATTTCAGGCCTGGAGAACTGTCTTAACATGAAAAGCATGCTCAGGAGCACTGAGTTGGCATCTTTAACATCAGAGCAACTGGTGAGTCCTGAGGATGGAAAACAAAGGCCTGAACCCCTCTCGCCATAGAGCTGTCCTGGTGAGCTGCCTGCGCCTGGCCCAGCAGGCTTTATGGACAGATGCTCCCTGCTAATGGGGCCTCACCTCTCTGGGCGATAGGATGGTCAGGGAAGGGAGGAAAACTCGGGGACCCTGGTGGGTAGGAGTGTCCTGTGAGGTACGGGGGACCTTCAGGCTCATGGGACGAATGTGACAGTTCTGAGGAATACCGAGTCCTGTCCCCTCCCCACTTCATGCTACTAAAATACAATAAACCATTTTATTTAGCAGAGACGCCCTCTGGGAGCAGTGGAGAAGGGAGCTCACCTGGAAGGTGGCACACCACCGGGATGCCTAATTTTTTGAGGTCATCTGCATTGCCGACACCTGAGAGCATGAGAAGCTGTGGAGAGTTGATGGCACCTCCACTCAGAATCACCTCCTTGCTGGCATAAGCCTGGAAGATGCAGAGGGCCACACAGGTCACACTTCCCTTCCCCAAAAGGCCTGCGGAACCCTGAGAACATGGCCTTAGCCATGACTTACCCAAGTGGTGGGTGGGGAGCCTGCTCACAGGCCCAACGGTGAGGAAGAGGATGCTTAGGGTGCTATGTGAAAGCATCCCACATGTGCAGCTGCGGTGCGCAGTCATAAATAAAGCATGGCTCCTACTCTGATATTGGGTTGTTGGAAAAGTCATGACGCATGTTTGCGACAGATGGCACTAGTTCATTTTTGGAAGTAATAGAGTCATTTGCATCTATGTTATTGCTATGTCATTTGACAGCTGACAGGTCTAGCTTCATTCTAAAAAAAATTGAGCGATTTGGCTGAGTTTTAGAGATTTTACAACAAGTTGAAGATGGAAGACCAAGCTGTGCATTTTTGCCATATTTTACTGTTTTACTTCCATAAAGGGAAGAACGTGCATCAAGCTTGTGAAAAGTTGCATAAAGTTTACGGTGACAATGCTCTACAAGAACGTTGGTGCCAACGATGGTTCACGAAATTCCATGCTGGTGATTTGGATCTCAACGACGCTCCTCGATCAGGGAGGCCCACCGAGGTTGATGACGACAAAATAAAGGCATTGATCGGGTCAAACCCACATTACATGACACAAGAGATTGCAAAAACATTGAACATCCATCATTCAAGCATTCATGACCACCTGAAGAAGCTGGGATATGTAAGCAAGCTCGATATTTGGGTTCCACATGAACTCAAAGTTCATTTGACAGCATGTCTGCAATATGCTCATTAAATGTGAAGAAAATGATCCTTTTTTGAAGTGGCTGATAACTGGTGATGAGAAGTGGATTGTTTACAACAATGTGGTGCGCAAACGGTCTTGGTCCCAACATGATGATTGACATCAAGCGACATCGAAAGCAGACATTCATCAGAGGAAGGTTATGCTATCAGTGTGGTGGAATTTTAAAGGTGTCGTGTTTTTTGAACTCCTACCAAGGAACCAAACAATCAATTCAAATGTGTACTGTCGGCATTTGGACAGTTTGAACAAATCCATCATCCAGAAACATCCAGAGCTCATTAATTGTAAAGGAGTTGTGTTCCATCACTAAAACGCAAGACCACACACAAGTTTGATCACTCATAAAAAATTACTGGAGCTTTGGGCCGGCCGAGTGGCGCATTGGGTAAGAGCTGGCTTGGGACTCCAGAGGGCCCCGGTTCGGATCCCACATATGAGGGCCAGTGACACTGCCCTCTACAGCTAAGATGCTGAACAACAGCTCGACCTGGAGCT